TTCGAATAAACAAAATTCGTATCCGTGATGATACGAAAAAAAAAATGGAAATTGCTTTAAAAAAAATCAAATAAAGATATGGCACCTACAATTCACAAAAGAAAAATTAAAAAAAATTAACTACAAGGATTCAAATTTATAAATCACCGGGGTAAAATTGGTTGATTGTTGATAGATATCAAGAGAAATCTTGATAGCTTGTCATCATTATGAGAATACAATGGTAGCTTTGACGAGTTGCTGCATAATTTTCAATTTAGTTTATTTGACGATCAAATGTCCATTTTAAAACATACAAATCACAGGATTGGAGCGATTGTTGTCCTTAACTTGCAAGTGACATTTTTCATTGAAATAAGTGTCATCGAATCTTTTTTTTTTATATATGGAAAAAAAATGTTTCCCATGTGGAAATAAATGATTTTCTGTGAAATTACAAATGACATAAAAATGCCTATACTTAGGTGCAACTCCATTAAAACTCCATTAAAATTTAACTTTAATATCTGCTGAAAATATATTTCGTACAAAGGAATTTAGGGAGCCCATATTTAATAACAGTATCCCATTGAAAGTTACACGAAAGCTATTTGAGGGGTTTATTAATTTAATCCAATATTTTTCCAATTTGAGATTCACATTTTGAGAATTGCCAAACTCTAAACAAAACAATCAATATAATATGTAATTATGCAGAACGATAGCATCGCCGCATAGTTCTAAACTTCCCTAATAAAAAATAACCATAAACGAACGATAACTCAAATCATTGAACTATTCCACAAATGGTTTGGATGATACCCAGAACACGTCGTTAAGCAAATTAACCATACAATTTTTATTAGGGTTTACAATTACGTTCTCGGGTATCAACTGTTTGCCAGCACTATTTCATTTATCGTCCACCACAACCTTAAGCTCACTCTACCATTGCTGGTTTCAAGAATTCGGTTTATGGTGATGGACCAAATAACCATTTGGGTGAATGACGGTTAAGTTAACCCGCATAAATCACAACCATATGATTACCACATTGAAAATGGTTTAACTTCCTCTGAAAACCATAATGAGAAAGGTTCGGTCAACTTTAATCAAACCATACCTAGATAAAGTTTTGACCATATTGATTAAGGTTTTCGAAGACCCAACCATACGAACAATGGGTGGTTAAGAACGTTCACCATACAAAATCTCACTTTTTCCCATACATTTTTAGCAAAACAGCTATAGCCTTACCACGTCAGAAAAGGTTCTAGTTGGATATGTGAAACTATTTCCATTAACTTTCGAATAAGGTAGTACGGTTTAGAACTAACCATTGTTGTTAACTTCATGATATACTATGAAATGGTATAAATTACCATACTTATTGACGTTATAATAAATACTGTCGTAGCTTATCCGGAATACAGCCGTCATGGGTCATGGGAGTCTTGGTAACATGTTTATTGATCTTAATATAAAATGAATAAATAAATGAATGTTTTCTTAACTTGGAAATCAGCTCTCATTGTTTAATGAAAAGCTTATCGGATTTTATTCCTAATTATGACGATTTGGATTAGAGTTACATTATCTTTCAATAAAGTGTTAGTTTATCACATGGTCTTTATTTGCATCAAATAGGTTTTTTTTTCATTAAATGGCTTATGGTTTGTTAATATTGCATTGAAGTTCACAATCCTTAATATATTAAAAAACACTTCCCCTTATGGCATCTATTAATGGCGCTAAGCTTCAACTCGGATTAACTGTTAATACTGTCCCTGTTTACTAACGCTGATGTCAAAATCAAAGCAGCTGTACATTCTTGATCGGGATTTAATCCGAGGATAATACCGGTTGGAGCTTACCACCATAAATATCTCTTGAGGCTTCGTAATTTGGTTCTCATATCATATAACGTTGACTGAATGATGTCATATATCGTTACAATACGGAATACTATCTTTTAATCATGCTTATGCCGCGGACACCCTTGAATGACAAACTTTGAGCATGAGCGTTATTTGTATAATAAATTATAAGTACTTCCATGGTCACTACCATGAGCCTGTAAATGTTCTCTACGTTCTCATACGTAATTTCCATATTTACCTATAATGTAATAAATTTGTCCCGAACTACGGTGCTCAATTTAGAGTTGCGTTTATCGTCTATGTTTCAATGCTACATAAAACAGTACAAATCAGTATAAAGAATTGTAAACATCCATGAAGCATGCTTACATTTAGCTTCAATGTAGGTGTCCATTCTTCAATTTCAATCTTCTTAAGAACATTACTTTGGATGTTCTGCAAACAAAAGGAACTCAATTATGTATCAGTTGTCGATGTCCTCAAAGACCTTAAGGGGGTGAGCTGGCATTCGAAGTTAATAACACTCTGACTTGCGATTGTAGAATAATGTATATTTCAGTTTCAGTTAGTTTTATTAATTAACCAATTGCGCAGATAGAATTCAATATTGTTTATGCTGAATCTTTCCCAAGTCCTATGTTGATATGTTGCTTCCTGTTGTTTACGAATTGACCCGATACCATGTGGCAAAACTCACACGCAATCGATTATGCTTATTGCAAGTATGCTTAGCTATGCAAACAATCATTTCATTCATTGCGCCGTCTGCGTGCTTTGTTGATCGTCTTGCGCTTGACCTAGTAAACATGTTTATTGCATTTGGGATTTCTTAGGAATGTTTATTTGAGACCCAGTGGAAATGCTTGGTATACATTAATGTCATTTTGATTTACAAGTTTGTTTTTCGTTTATGTTGCGCATCGACACTTTTAACGGAAATGATTGCGTCTTAATCAAACTGTTTTTCAATTGGTTTGCGCATCCACCACAGGGGTATTCCACTCTGGCGGCATGAAAAATAGGTAATTTTACGAATTTTTTTAGAGGATAAATAACGATCAATTAAAAAAAGGAATGCATGGTTTTGTAAATTGAAATGTCCTCTCTAATTGAGATTTTTTTTTTGACGCGATTGGATGTCTCCTGTAGCCGCTGCACAAGGTTCCCCAGGAGACCTCCCGTCTGAGTCGTCGCGGGACGGGACGTCTGGCGGTCACACCACTGGAGCTGCAACAACAATTTTTTTGTGGTTATTCTCTGATAGATGACCCAGTCTTGTACGTAGCCGTTTTTGATTTGGTTGAAAAATAAAAATTTGGCGACGTTTTGAAAAAAAAAAAAACAGTTCCGCCAATTTTGAAAACATCGTTTAGAGATAATTGCGGCAGCAGTTGGAACTACTAAGACACGCCGTTTCACCGGTAACGGGCGGGTACTCCGAGCGCTCACCTGAGCACGCTTGGAGCGTCTGGACACGAGTCCATTAATCGGCCTATAACTTTGGAATGATGCCACTTGCGGACTTGTGGTCAAGTCTTTGTCAAAGTAAACATTGCAAAGTATTTTTTAAGCCAAAAAAAAAAGATTTTTTGAAATTTACAGAGTGGACTACACCCTTAATTTGCAATTATTCAAAGCTAATTTGCATATTGTGTAACTAAAATCATTTATAACTTTCCAACAGAAAGATAAATCAACTTAGTTGCTTGAGCAAAAACATGCGCCATCAAAAGTTATAAAACCGTTTGCAACTTTAACTGGTGTAAGAGAAATCAATGCAGAAAAAAGAAATATAAAAACTAATTTTTAGAAGTCACCCTTTGTTACCATTTTAAAACAATTAGAAAACGAGAACCAATATATAAGCAAATTTGTAATTTCTACAAAGTTGCTTCAAATAAAATTTTCTACAACTTTGTGGAACAATGTGCTGGTCACAAATTACTAAAACTGATATTTTCATCTCAATAACCATAGAGACCACCGTAAGTTCACTAACACGAAAAAAAAAAATCCACTTATACTTTTTGGCAAATTTCTATTGTTTATTATTCATTTGAGTTTGCTTTAAGAATCGCTCAATAATGGTCCACGGTGTGCTTTTATTTTATTTTAAGTTTTTGAGTTCGGGCTATTTTGGTGCTGGATGGAGTTTTCCGGTGCTCATAATTTTATTAGTTTTGTAACCGGTGCGCGATAACTTGAATTGGAAAAGTTTGTGCAGATGTTTTCCACTGTGTTACTTAGGTGCTTGGTGTGCTCTCGCTTTCCTTTGCTGTCGGTGAATACAATGCCCTTGTTTGAGCATGATGGAGATGAAAGTGCCAGGTTTTGATAGGAAATATCATGGATGCAGTAATTGTTAAATTAATTGTATTATTTATTTTTTTATAATCAGTTTAAGATTTAACAATACAGTAAGAGTGAGATCTTGGCAATAAAATATAATTTACTTTAAATCTTTCCCTAATTTGCAAACCTGATTATTTGTTTACATATGAAAGTTCACAACTGGTCGAATGTCAAAATCGGAAGTGGAATTTATGATAATTATACTAAATATTCTCTATTTTCAAAAATAATTGTCGAATCAAAGCAAAAGCTACTCATGCGACTGCTAGTTTTCAGCTCCACATTTCTCAAATTTATGCGACTACAATAAATGCAATGCGTGCCGAACGATACTCAAACGATTTCTCAATTATTTAGAACCACCCTCATCACACCATTAATCCAACTGTGCGGCCTTTCGTTAAGATGGATCTAGCACTCACACATTCGAGTCATGATTGCGCTCTTTGCACCCAAATCTGCAACGTCAAGTGTATGGGTGCTTGCGTTCGCTCGTTCGGCTCTTCAGCAGTGATGTCACATATACTGATTTTTCTGTGATGGAACGGATTTTAGACAATTTTCGGTACAGAAATCTGTATATCAGATTATAGATTATTAAAAAAAAATCTGCAGAATATAACGGATTTTAAGAAAATATCTACGAATTGATACAGCGCTTTTAAGCCAAAATCGATAAATATTTGTGGCAGTAAAATACAGATGAAAAATGTGGCATCACTGCTTTCCAGATTCACACGATGACGAGACCAGACGGGCGGCCTGCTGCGATTAGTGTTGAGTTGTGAGTTGTGAAGGCAGCAGCGAGAGTAGTTGGCACGGACTATACAGATCGTCGTTTGAAGAACTCTAGCTGAAGGAAACGCGTACGCGGTTTACGGTTTTTATTTTTTCCTTTTGTCGTCGCCGTCGTTTTGCTTGCGTGTTTTTTTTTTCTAAGTGAAGTGAATCTAAACTGCTTAACATTGTAGTGTATTGCAACATTTTAGAAGAAGACAACTAAGGATAAACAGTGAAAACATAAGAAGAATATACAGTTTCTGTCCAGTGCTAATGTAACTAGATTCTGTGAATAGAGTTGGTCTACTGGAAGAAAAGTGTGTTTTTAAAGTGTAATAATTTTTATTCCTATTCGAAAAGAGTATCTCTCTTGTACATCTGAAGAAGAGTGAAGTCTGTTTCCGTTCGCGGTAGTGCGAGTATTGGTGTATAGACGGTCGTGTGTGCGTGAATCGTACAGTGCGAAAACATTCTTGAATCTCGCTTGCTTGCTCGCTCGCGCTGAAGAATTCCAGCAGCAAGTCGCGAAGGTCTCCTGCGGAGTTGGTGCGGCCAGAAGAATCTTCTTTTGTCAGGGGTGTTCAAGAAGAACAACGTTACGACAACAATAACAACAACGGAGTGGCCTACTACGACTTCCAATCAACCAGCGATCATCTCGTCGTCGTAATCATCGAAGCAATCTGCAATTGAATGTAATGACGGGCAAATCTGTCGATGAATATCTTTATTGTTCTTTTCTATGATAGGCAAACAGCAAGCTTCCATATCTTAATTAGGGTACTGTAGTTGGGGTAAATTTTGTGGGAAGGTCTTTATTTTAAAGAAATCAATTATCACTGTTTTTAACCATCCTAAATAATCGGGCAATCATTTATTGTGATGCAACGGAGTCATAGCTGCCCTTGGCCGGTCGCTTCTACCGATACTAACATGTGCCGCCTGTTAGTCATGGGTTGCTGAGTGAAATTTTGCTGATAAGTAAATATTGCAGCGAAAAGAGTGCCTTTGCTGGCATTTTTAGAGGAGAATATTCTTTCCGAAGCGACTCCAGAGTAAAGAAGTCTATTTGGATGATAATCCATCCGGAGTAGTGTTTGTGTTGTTGCGTTTCTGTTTTGTTACTTGTTTCAAAATCGAAAAGAAGAAGAAGGCCAGGAATTACTAGCCGCAGAAGAAGCAACAAATCGAGCCCACAAAGGCTTTTAGTTGACGAGAAGAAAAAGAAGTGCCTGTGAGAGTGTATAAGTGCTTCCAATGCTCTGTAGTTGAGTACGTGAAGAGCGAGTATAGAAAGAATAATAATCGTGTGGATGCCTCGAAAAACGGGATAGTGGAGCTGTCTGTTCCAATGGAGAAAAAAAAAATAAATCAGCGGAGCGGTAGGTTTGGCAAAAAGAAAATGTTTACTGTCTACCGAAAACGGTGGACCGTCCTTCTCCTCGTGGAAAATTGCGTAACTCCTCGCCACAAGCCACATGTTGCGGACAGAAGTAACAGAAAAAAAAACCGCATCCAAATTGTCCGATCAAAGTAGCCAAAAAGAAGCAGGTATTGTGTATATTGTGAGCAAACAATTTATGAGCTGTTTGTGTGATTTACGGGGCCAATCGCCTCACGTAAATTGATAATTGAAAATAGGTCTTCATCATCTTCAGAGCTGGTTGGTGGTGAGCTCATTGATATTCGAACAAACTGTTGATTTTTCTCCTTCTGTGTGCGCTCTGAAAACTTGCCCACATCAGCACCATGTATATGCATCCATTAGCAACGAGCTACTCTTTTTCTTCGAACAGGAGAGCAAATCGATTGCACATATCTCTAAAATCCCCCCCTATATGCATGCGATCAATGTGCAAACAATTTGTGTGTGGACAGATGTATTTGGCACTCGGTTGCTTTTAATACTCGAAAAGTCTCAGTAGGTTGAGAAAATGGAAGAACTACTACCTGCCAAGTTCGATTGGCGTGATAGCTGGGTCAGGGTTGTGCAGGTTGTGTCCAAACTTCATTTTTTCATGCTTGTAAACTGTTTAAGTTAAGGTCTTTACGAACTAGTTTCACTAAGATGGTTTGTTTTTCTGAAAAATCTCGATTTTCTAAATGCAAAGATTGTTTCTAGTTGTACAGTCAACTTAACTCTTTCTTACTCGATCTCGCCCTAACGCGATGAAAATCCAAGTTACTTTGGCCAATTATCCCATACAAATTTCCAAAATTAACCTCCGTAGCTTGATATCCCTAGCTCAAGTTAGGAAAACTTGACTGTATTTATGAATATTATTTTTTTTTTCAAATTGCTGCCATTTTTGGAAATTGGTAGATTATCTACAGATCTATATTGATGGCCAGATCATCATGCATTGATGGTAAATCTCACTCGTGGCTCCAGGAGGGAAATTGTGAACAGTGAAGACAATGTTCACTTCATCGAAGACGATCACCTTTCGTTTATTATATTAAACTAGCTGAGAGTGCCCGGTAATGCTCGGGATTCAATGCTATATTGTACGTAGCCCCCCCCCCCTCTTATCTAAGGGGCTACCTCCTATGACCTCCACATGCCAAATTTGGTTCCATTTGCTTGATTAGTTCTCGAGTTATGCAGGAATTTCTGTTTCATTTGTATGGGGGGAGGGGTCTCGAACCATCATAAGAACCTTTCCCTACCCCTAAAACTCCTGTATACAAATTTTCACACCGGTCGGCTCAGTAGTTTCCGAGTCTATAAGGGTCAGACAGACAGACATTTTTATAGATATACTTTGTGCCAAGCAGTTTTTGCTATACTGAAATCGTAAATTTTAGATATTTGTGGATGCCCAAGATGTATTTTTTCTGATATTTTAAATATTACTGAGCTACACAAATCATAAATGGGCCATTATGTTGCATTTAAAAAGAGAAATTCGACAGTGAGCATGCAGAAGGGCGTACACGCGATGATCGATTCTCTTCGTCGATTGTCTCTTTTGTTAATAACTCGCTAGATTTAACGTTTCTCGGTGCGTTTGCTGTTGCTTTTGATAGCCAATACAACCTGTTACAACTCTGAATTGAACAAATTCTAGAAAAATGTTTCACTTAGCTGCAGCAATGCAAAGAGAAAATCGATGAAGAGAATTGATCATCACGTATACGCCCTTATGCATGCTCACTGTCGAATTGTACTTTTCAACTATTTTAGAAATTTTAAATTTTAATAGAGATCTGGGACCATTTTTCTAGATTTCAACTAATGTGCAATCATTAGGACTGTGGGACTACAGAGAAAAAAAATTCTAACGGATTTTGGGGCGATTATAAAGAGAATTGTATGGATAAAAATTCTACATAATAAAATAAAAAAAAATCACTTAGGATTTCTCGAAGGAGTTCTCTTTGGAATTCCATATTAGTGCTGAGGACTTCAAAGTTGATTTATTTATTTAAAAAAAAGGAGAGTGAGGAGAACTTCAAGTGAAATCTAAGGATTGCTTCTAAGGTTATGTTGATGACCACCTAATTCCTGGAGAATCTTAAGAATAATGCCTAGGAAGTTCTGAAATGATTTCCAAATTAGTTTCAAAGAAAATTCTAAAAAAATTGAGATTTAATCTTAAAATGAATTCTAATGAAACATCCAAGATGGTTCTAATTAGTCAACAGTGTTATTCGACCAGGTATTCGAAGTTTACAGCAAAATGTTAATAGATACTCGGCCATTTCTCACCTTACAAGTAGCCGAGAAGGTTTTGAGGCTGCAAAGCTTGATATTCGGTCAAGTATTCGTTCCAATACTATGGCGGCCGAAAATTCTGTGCATCACTAGTTCTAATAGCATCCTACATGACGATAATTAAAGGCAGTATTTGTGATCATCTAGCTCTAAGCGCTCCACTTTATGTTGTACCAACCGAATTTGAGACAAACAGCTTTTTTGCGGGATTGTTATCTGGCATTCTCACAACATGTCCCGCCCACTACGCTCTTGCAGCCTTGACAACTTTCTGAATATAAATAAATTTCATGGGGATACTAGGATCATTCCTGGAGAATTTTGAGGAGAAATTCAGCAAGAGTTTGAAGCATGATTTTATGTGAATTTAAGAAAAACACTCCAGAAAAATGAATTGTGAGGAGAATTTCATGTGAATTTTAAAAAGAAGTAGTGAAGAGAATTCCATTACAAAAGGCTATTCGGACTGGAATTCCAAAATAATTATGGGATTTACAATTCTAAAGAAAGGGAGAAATTTAGTGAAATCTCAGGTAAATTTCAAGATAGTTCTGAGTAAATTCCCAGGGCAATTCCGATGGGAGGCTATATTTTAAAACAAATTTCGTGGTGAATTTCTATGCAATTCCTAGCAGAATGTCAAAGCAACTCAAACGATAATTCTATGAGAACTCAGTGTAGAATATTGGCGAGAATTCCGGAGTTATAATATTGTTTGAAATTTGAAACGAATTTTCGGGTGAATTTCACAGTTACCTGTGGAGAATTCTTGCAGTAAAGGGTGTCCACGATGAAATTGCCACACACAAAATTGATTCGCAAAATTCGAGTTTTCATCCGATTGCCATCAAATTTTCAGGGATTGAGAAATAACTATTAAACTTCATTTTACCATTTTACTCGTATTTTATTTACAGTCCATACGCAAATGCCCGCACCTTGGCCTTAACCCCGGCCATAAGATTCTGCACAACCTGTGAATCAACCGTTTTTTGCATGTAAACCCATACTTTCTTCAGTTCCTCGACTGTCTTCACTACCTTAGGTCGTTTAAGAAGGTGCTGCTTCATAATCGCCCAGTACTTCTCGATGGGGCGGAGCTCCGGAGTGTTGGGAGGGTTGAACATTTTCGGCACGAAATTGACCTTATTGTCCGCATACCACTTCAGCACGTCCTTGGAGTAGTGGCATGAGGCCAAATCCGGCCAAAAGATTGTTGGGACGTTGTGGGCCTTCAGGAGAGGAAGCAGCTGCTTTTGGAGGCACTCTTTTATGTACACCTGTCCGTTCATCGTGTCCTGGGTCACGAAAGGTGCACTCCGCTTCCCGCACGTGCAGATGGCTTGCCAAACCAGGAATTTCTTCGCAAATTTGGACATCTTCTGAGTGCGGACATGCTCCGGAACGCTGAACTTATCCTTGGCCCTGAAAAACAGGTTGCCGGGGATCTGTTTGAAGTCGGCCTTCACATATGTTTCGTCGTCCATGATGCAGCATTCAACTTTCGTCAGCATGTTGAGGTACAACTTCCTGGTACGGGTTTTGGCGGACTTGTTCTGCTTCTCGTCGCGATTAGGGGCCTTTTGTACCTTGAACGTTCGAAGCCCAGCCTTAGTTTTGGCCTTCTGGACAAAACTTCGGCTTAGGTGCAGCTTCTTAGCCACATCCCTAACGGAGGCGTTCGGATTTCGGTTGAAGGCCCCAAGTACGCGGTTGTGATTTTTGGTGTTGTACGGAATACTTTTTCCTTCACTTCTGGGCTTCCGATCGGTGGTCAACCGTTCCTCGAACCGCTTAATCACTCGCGACACCGTGGAATTCGCGATTTCCAACGTTTTAGCGATGGAACGATGCGAGAGATCCTTGTTCTCGTGATGAATGCGCAAGATTTTATCACGCACGAGCTGTTCTTTCGACTCCATTTCCGCGAGTTTTGATCACAGGACTTTAAAACTTGCAGGATGTAAATAATGCACT